CTGCATCAATAAAATAATTGAACTGACCAAGCCTGTATTTGGGCGATTTCAAAGTGGATGTAATAAAGTGATAATTGAACCTCGTGTCGTGCAATCTTGGTCTGAAATCATACTTGTGATTTCAAATCACGCGTATGATTTCAGCCCAAATTGCACTCCACTCAGTTCAATTACCATTATTAATTATACTCATTTTTCATTGTGAAAATGGAAATGATAATTAAAAACGTGTCTTTCTCATTAGGAAGCTGAAAATGCGCGAGTGAAGTTATTTGAACTGAGAGCGATTACTGCCGCAGTAGAATCTTCAGGACAAACTAAATCTGAGGCACAGGTCAGCCAACTTCATATATACCCACCCTTTGCATACATGTTGCTAATTTTCTGATTTTGTGGGACTTTTCAGAATTCTTCATATGACGCCTCTTTCGATAATTTACAAGTTCGTGTTTGTTTGTTTCATTTCAACAACCTCTTCGACATTTAAATCAACGTTACTCCAGTAACAAAATGTTCTTATTATTCCAAAAGGCTCAGGCAGAACGTTTGCTTATTGAAGGGGAGAGTGCAATAGAAGGTATAGACGAGTTTGGTCGTGGAAGTTGTGCTTTACTTACGAGTAGTATACGGGGGCACTATGGTCTACAGGCAATCAGATGAGATTATTTTGTACCACTTGCGTCATTTCCGCGCAGCGTAACAGTATTAATCCTTGCTTGACACTTAGGCATGACAAAGAGATTGAGTTATTTCAAATCACCATCTTTGAGGCCAATCCGGCCATATGAATGGTTTATTTGTACCATGTGGTACAAAATACTCCTCTCTGATTGGCTGTGTATCATAGTACCCCTGTATACCACTCATTCATTATAGAAAGTGCAGATATGTTTGATTCTAACGTAGCTTTTCCCGTGTGTTTAGTCGCTAAACTCAAAGCAGAAGCTGCTGAAGTTGAGCTACTTGCTGAGTTAGAATCTCAAAGAATGGTGAGTTGGAGGATAATTGATCAGATGCAACTGTAGCGGAATGCGTGTATATCTTATCATTTCTCATTCCTTATTTAAGGAGAAAGATGGGGAACTCGAACACCAGAAGCGACTTAATGAACTCGATCTACAGAAGGCCAAAGAACTGGCAGAAATCGAGGTTTGTAGCATTGTGTTCTGGCATCAATTTCAAAGTGGTCATGACTCATATCAAGAGAATATTTATATCCTCGTGCTTATTTTCAAACTCGATCATTATCGTAGACTGACAAGTTTGCCGCCATGGTGGAAGCCCTGAGTGCAAAGACGATCAGTAAGATTGCGCGCTCTGGTCCTGAGTCAGAGGTGAGGTTTAAACTTTACACTGTTACACTGGGAGCGTTTTAATAACAGCGGAGGACGGATGGAGATAATTTTGAATATGTAATTATTTGGTTGCTAACCAATATCTTAATCTTCGATGTTATATGCGGCCTTGTGTTCTTTTTATCTAAATTTTAATACCTTTATTCGTACTTTTTCCGCGCTTATCTTCGTTTATGACTTGGCGTGCTTTTCCCGCGCTTTTTACGGATCACATGTTTTGGTTTGATTTGCTCCCGGTTACTTCTGTTACCGCGTGTGTTGTGACGATCACTTAAAAAAAATTGAAAGTAGAATTTAGATATATGAAAATTCACATATTTGCACTGCGGTGGAGAGATGAAATTAGAAGATCCTCGCAGCTAAGAACACTACTGAATCTAGTAGTTGTAAATAGGACCTGAAAAAAATTCAGGCCCGTACGGGATTTGAACCCATAACCTCTGCGATACCGGTGCAGCGCTCTACCAATTGAGCTAAAAAGCCAACTGGGAGCTGGTCAATGAATTGGGTACAAATAAACATCCAAGTGAATGAAGAATTTAGATATATTTATATATATTCATTCACTTGGATGTTTATTTGTACCCAATTCATTAACCAGCTCCCAGTTGGCGTGTTAGCTCAATTGGTAGAGCGCTGCACCGGTATCGCAGAGGTCATGGGTTCAAATCCCGTACGGGCCTGAATTTTTTTCAGGTCCTATTTACAACTACTAGATTCAGTAGTGTTCTTAGCTGCGAGGATCTTCTAATTTCAAAAATTGAAAGTATTCCACCACGAGTAAACATTGATAAAATCTACCAGCTTCTCTTAAGCGTGGTAAACATTGCAACGCAACGCGGTAAATGGAAAGATATGACCCGAACTAAATAGATATGTATTCTTTTATACTCTGTCGTTTTATCGACAGGCCGGGCTCCTCAAGGGACTGGGAATACAGAATGTCCTCATTACTGATGGAAAAACGCCTCTCAACCTGTACCAGTCCCCAAGCGGCTTTTCCCAGCCGGCAATGATGAGCTAGAGACCGATAACGAGAGCTCAGGAGTACAGTACAGTACTCAGTAATTTTAAGGTGAACTTTCTTCGTCAATATGATAACAGACTGGTTTTTAAACTGTAAGTTCTGTCTGTGCACTCGCACTTAAAAACAGTAATGGAACCAAAAAATAAAGGACTTAGATTTGAAAAAGAAAAAATATAAAGATTTAGAATCTTTGTTTTAAAGCATTGATTCAGCACACTAACGAATGGAAAGTTCCTTTTAAAGATGGACAATTCAAATGGCAATAAATAGTGGTGGGAAAAGATCTGTGTATACCTGACGTGTGTATCACATTTTACACAGACAAGAGTTGTCGCCGGAAAGAATTAATGACATGAATAATTTAATAAATAAGATTGTTGATGGTTTGTCTTGTCATTTGCTGATTTTCTATCGCCACCTAAACTGCAGCACGTTTATTACTGTATTTAATTTTTGTCGGCTTTTATGAACACTTTCCTTATCTGAATCTGAGAGACGTGAATTTGAAATTTCAGACCGTAACTGAGTAGTATTTTCTTTATAACACCTTGAAGGAGGATTAAACAACAAAAAAATCGCTTATTAGAACATTTCAGTTGAAAGAAGGGACCAAGAATATTCAGCTCATCTTTCCACACTGAGACAATTCCTTCTCTAATGCCTACGGGAGCCTTTGCGTCAATCACACGCGAGGTAGCCGCGCGCGATAAAGTTCGTGCTCCGCATCACGTTTGTATGAGGTGTTGATGACAACATGTTGAAAAATACGTAAAAAATCCTCGGATGCGCACCAGATCCTTCTTTCCCCTACGGTCATATCAAACATTTCTTGGCTTTTGTTTAAAGATTCGGTAAAAGACATTCAATGTAGCAAACAAAACGGTATTTTCTTATGGAAAATAACTGTAAATACAAATTGAGTAAGGAAGTAGTATATTTAAAGGAAGTAGTATATTTAAAGAAAGTAAAATTTTTCACTTATAGACTGATATATATCGAATTAGAGTGGATTGTAGAGTAATATATTATTGTATTGACTTATGGTCAAGCATTATTTTCAATGAAAGTTCCAGAATTGACCGCTAAAACACGGGTCACCATTATTTATGATGATAGTTTGAAATTCAACCTGATTCATCGATTTTATTAGTTTCCAGGGTCTTATTTCAACTCTTTAGCGAGCTTAAAATAACTTACCTCCCATGAATACTTCATTATCTAAATTCGACTAACTTTACTTAATAGCATATGCCATGAAACCAAGTAGGAAAAATTGCCCGTGTAAACATAACTTGTTTCTCCTCAAACGAAACATTGCATCCACCCACAACTCAGATGATTTTCGGAGCAGACTTAACTAAACCGAGTGTCTTGGAAAATTTGTTGCAATCGCCAGTTCCTTCATTTTTCTGGAGACCGCATGTTCATTTTGTTGTTTTATTCAGTGGAGTACTCACGATCGAAGTTTATAATTTTTCCCAAATCCTTTTTTCATTCCCTTACCCTTGCAACTAAGCGATTAAAAACCTAGAAACTCCATTTTTGGTGTTTAATACGAGGGTGTCTTGGTCGTGTTACGTTTATTTGACTACAGTGCTGGGTACTCCTCAGCCTTTTCAGATGTATCGGTGGAAAATCTAGTAAAAAAAAAAGACGAAATACATTTAGAGAATTATTGAAATTGGTAAAGGTAGTGGCAACTTTGCGCTTAATTATAAGAGTAGTCGGATATACAGAAATAAAAACAATAACTTTAAAATTGAGAAAAAGTTTTCATTGCAGCTGTTCCCGTTACGGGAATTGCTTCGAATTGCAAATTTGCGTGCCGCCTTTTGTTGAAAAAGCGGAACATATCCCACGGTGTTTGGAGATTGGCAATGGAGTATATAATAATAGCAAAATAGCCTTGATAAACTATTTTGGAACGAATTTCACTTTACAGTTTATCTATATAGCATTACATGAGTTCTTGCAATACAAAAAATACATCCGCTTTTACTGAATTAGTAAAATTTACAAGCCATTAACCATTTTTTCGTGATTCGGGGGGATAAATTTTTTTTCATTAGCGAACCAAACGTTGTCATCTGCCTCTGTTTGATCGAGGTTCAAAACATCTGTCTCAACGTGAAGATTAACATACTGCCTGATTATCATAACTGACCTCTTATTTTTTTTCTTTATTTTTCTTTTTGTCGTCTAAGTAAAAGAAAATCGCATTTCAGTCGCAAGCTGCGAAGGAAGTCATCTACTAATCAGCTAAATTTGTGATATCGGCCAAGAATTGGTGTAATTCGGATTTCGTTTTTACACAGCGTTCTAAGCAATATTTTTCATTGACAATCTTTGTGAGGAATCCGCCAATCAGCAGATATTCAATTACAATGGGCTTTTGTTCAATTATTTTCCTTGACAACCGCACTGTATAATTGGGATCAAATGTGTCTCACTTGTCTGTGAGAACAATAGACTGTGGAGGGCGGCTTTGTTACCAACTTCCGCCATTCTCCGCCATACGGCATGCTTTCAATTCCTAGAATTCTATTGGCTCACAGCGGAACAAAGCGCCCCACACGCAGAATAGCCACAAGGAAAACAGATATTGTTCCATTCGGCATTGTTCAAAGACGGCTTGGATTTCCACCATTTGTTTCTATTCCAGTGTTGAAACTTCGCCTCGGGACCACCAAGAAGGTTCCGAGTTGAAGATTTGCGTCTGAAATTCGAGCTCGCTAGTTTGTATAACTCGCGCGTTTTGCGCCTCGTGACGTGTTTCCTATTCTATCACGTGATTACAAGAAATGTCATTTGTGTTCCAGTGATATTGCTAGTTGTGATCAAACTCCAACAATGGCTACGGTTGCGAGTGGAATGAATAACGCGATCCCAAACGGACCTGAACTTGGTGAAGTGAAAATAGAGAAAGTAGATCAGATCAAGACGAGCGATCAGAACTTCAACTGGAAAATAACGACGACGGTGCCTTCATATAACGATGCCAATTCCCTGAACACAACAACAACCGTAACAGAAAACACGTCTTCGGACAACAGTAATAATGTAGTAGTGGCAGAATGTCCTCAAATCGATGCTGCTACTCTAAAGCTTGCTACTTTGCCAATGAAGACACAGATCATGCCTGGCCCTTACTCTGAAGTTCAGCTGCCCAAGAAGGAAAATCATGTCAAACGGCCGATGAATTCGTTCATGGTTTGGGCGCAGTCAGCGAGAAGAAAACTCGCCGAACAGTACCCGCACGTACATAATGCTGAATTAAGCAAAATGCTCGGAAAACTCTGGCGAATGCTTCCCCCTGCTGAAAAGCAACCGTACGTGGATGAGGCGGCAAGGCTAGACAAAAGACACAAAGAGGAATTTCCAGACTATAAATATCGACCAAGAAGGAAGCAGAAACCGATGAAACGTCCGTATGTTCAAACGCGAGTTGCTGTGACACCCGGGTGGCCTGCTGGACAGGCTCAAACTCCAATCGCAATGAACGGGACGGCTACCATCGCAGCTCAAAACGGCACCTTTCCCACTACAGCCTTGACACAGAATTCCCAAGTGGCTCAGGTTTTTCCTCAAGGAATTCAGACAGTCCCAGTACAAGCAGTGAACAATGGAGGCACGGTAACGTATGCGCCAATCGGTAGTGTAGGATACGTACCAACGACTCCTATTCCGGGAGGAAGTATGATTCTACGACCAACGTTCGTTACAACTGCAGTAACGAATCCAACATCAATCCAACCTCCAGCTTCTGTAACCGTGCAGGCGGTCAGATCTACCGTAGCAACAACTCTGGCGACTCCAAGTTATGCTATCCCGTTAACACAGTACGCTGGAGCGCCGATTATTGTTTCGAGCGGTGTCAATAACCTGGTTAACTCTACCGACAATACAAACATGGCTACAGAAAAACCTACGGAAAACGTACCTCTGGCTACCATAAGCATTCCCGCTTCAATGGCTGGGCCCATGAACAATCATTTCGCCACTATTGCGGCTGCAGGACTTGTGGCGCCCAATTCGGATCCTGTCCAACCCAAAACCTCGGAAAGCCAACATGCGGTGGATAATAATTCCGTTCTGACTGTTTCTGTGTCGAGAAATGGCACTGAGAACCAAGTTGATGCGTCAAACGCAGAGCATCCACAGAGTATTGAGGTGAAAACAGCTGAGGGATGTCGGATTTAATCTTAAATTACTGGCTGCCTCATAAATCTCGGTAGGCCATAGCGTGCAAGTACTAACCCTAAATTTTGTGTTTATTTATTTACTGTTAGTAATTTGTAACATGGTACTTTTCTTACGACTTCCTCGCTCGCTAGAACAGTCGTGTTACTCTCTGACTGTGGTTTCTCTCTGTCTTGCGATTGTAAATTCAGTGCACGTGTGACAGGCCTTTCTATTGTGTACCTAGTTGATGTACACTTGCATCAAGGGTCGACAATCTGGAGGCCACAAATGATTGTTCTTACAGAATGAGTTTATTATGTTTTTGCCCAATGTGCTTCACACGTCATCGCCTCTCTCTTTTGTACGATCCTTTCTACAAGAATGTACTCGTAGTATTTTCTATTGTTCGGCAGTATACTCCGGTTCAAAAGATTTTTAATTGTATGTGAAATTAACAATTGTGACATGTTTGTTTCGTTTTAAAGCACGTTCAGCCCAGCGCTAAGCTGTAGTTTTACCGCGCACTATTCTAATTATGCCTGCGATTTCACACGCCTTCCAAAAGCAAGGTGTGTCTGAAGACAGTTCCAGTATGTTCGAATCCTGACTTATTCGAACGATCAATCATTCGATTCGTGTGACCGATCATTCGTTCGTATACAAATAGCAATATAGCGCTTTATTTATTGCGAACGGTGAAGACTGCAGTTGCTATTTATTTTATTGAAAGGGGTATATTTGTCAGAGGTTAAAGGATATTACGAAATTACTTGTTTAAAATGATTATTACTTAGTGCGATTTCGTGAAAAAAAAACATCTGAAAGACATAAGCTCGAATGGTTTCTAAGCCATTTGTTTCTTTGAGCATTTGAAAAGGTTTTATTGTTTAATTTGACAGGACTGTGTACATTTCAAGAGAGATTTGTGATTACGAAACTGCTTGTCAATTGTTTTGAATTATTTCTGATCAAAATTTGGACAGACTAAGACATGTTGGTCAACAAATAGTTTTTTTTACCTTCAGTTGTTAATAATTTCAAGTACAGTTCTAGAAAAGAACATGAAAAATCAAGGAAAATCTTATATTGTATGTTTTGAATACTTTTGGTGATAACTTTTTTCTGGCATGTAATTTTGGTTGCTTACTGCTAACATTTCCTTGCAACAAATTAGAGCTTTGGTTTTCTGAGGAGTAAATTACTGCTGTGGTAGGTTAAATAAGTGTGAGACATCGGGCAAAACATAGAAAAAAGGTCTTGTTATTTTATGGGGCTGGAGTTTGTTTGTTAGTTGGCTCTCAAAGTCAAAAGACAAGTGCCGTAAGGTATGCATGCAGAAGATCTGGGTCAAATCCTAAATATTAAATTCTACAATTGTTCTTGTCTGAGCTGATAAATGTGAAGATGCAAACCAAAGTGTTGAAATTCTTCTGTGGCAAAATGTATGTAGATGATATTCCTTATTGTTCATTGTTCTTAGAAAGTTAAGCTTTTTCAATGGAAATCTTGCTATTTCCAAGATTATTTTGTTCTTTTGAAACCAGCCCTGAGAAATTGTTTTTGTTTTAATTTTGAGCTTGAATGAGTAATTTTACCCTGCATGTATACTTTATGACACTTTTCCTTGAGGGTACTATAATCTCCTTTTTAATTGCACAAGTGGACATTCACTTCTCAGTGAATTATTTTTTCATTTCTTTATTATTACATAATACTCATTATAAAGTTATTCTCAAGACAAAGTTGATCACATAAAACTGCTTCAGTGTTGGTGCAATGAACTTGTTATTTTCTTTTGTTTTGTAAAATGTAGCAGCATATTTATGAAAGAATACACATTCATCTTTCTGTAACAAAGATTAACTGTAATGGTATCTAGTTACTTTAGACTTCAAGAGCCATTTGTCTTATTTAAGTGTAGAAGTTTGTATTTTAAGGTGACTGTGTTGTTAGTAGTGTACGTTCATCTTGTGACAGTGTTTATTACTGTACTTTTCATGTTTTTGTATTGTTTGTTTGCTATCATTGCTGAGGATGTTAAATTAATGGCAAAAACTATTGTTAAAGAAGAAAACATGAGAGACAATGTGCAGTTTAACAATCCAGTTCAGAATGTAAATTTAAGGTGGTGACAAAGTTTTTTACAGAATGTTAGACAGGTATACACACCGCAATCAGACATAGAATTTATGTTAAAGATAAACACCATGGAACTCCAATTCTTTGCCAAGGGTGGGATATGCTTACTACCTGTTATGCAGAGTTGACATTAATTGATATTTTCCAAAAGGTTGATGTTGAATAGTTAAACAATAGTAGTATGGAATGGTAGAATTCTAAATGTGATGATATAGGCTTATTTAACAAGGATTACATTACCATTCATATTCAAAGTAGTTTATAGACACAAAAAGTTAATAAATGATGAAAATACACACCATTCATTTATTGTATGAAAATAGATAAGCCAGGTTTCAATGCTATTACACAGTTGATTTTACTTTTTCAAATTATGATGGTAGAAGTAATCTGTCAAGTCATAGGTAAATCAAAATAGTATGCTGAATCTCTAGGCTAATAAACAGTGAATAGATTTTTACCATTTGTAAGATATTTTATGCCTCTGGTTACTGTGTAACTGACAGAGTAATTACCAGTAACTTTCTAAGATTTATGTGAACTTCATATTATTGTAAAGAAAGGATTTGACTGTTTTGTGAAAGCCTTTGGTACAAGTTTTATTCATTATCATTAAGCAAATTCTTGGTATCTTGGAGGTAGACCCATGCACGCTACAAGTGCATTAGATTTTGATGAACTAGAGGAAGGCCGAAATGTTAATCTTTAAGTAGTACTGTACATTATGGTAGCAACTTCCCTCCTTTCATTTCTGTTGCCCTCTTTTTATACCAAATGCAAAATACATTAAGAACCCATAATCTGATCAAAAGTCCTTGCTTTTGATCACACATCGTTCTGTGAAGGGAAAATCATTCAGGCCTTTCTCTTGTTTGTCTGGTGTATGGTATATTGGCAGTCGGCTCTGCATACGTTCATTATTAATCAGAAAATCATTATTTAAAATGTAGTGTTTTTAATTCAGAATAAACGTAATGAACATCTTTATGAATTTTGTGAATTTTTCACTTGCTTGTGTCAAAGTGTATCTGATATTAAGTGTGATCTGCTGCACTTTCCCCTGTAATCATTTTATTAAACAGAAACTCAGGTGCTCTAGTATTTTAAATGTCATAAACTGTTATTACAGTGCCAGTATAAAAGTGCAAATTGAATTGGAAAGACTCAAAAGATATGGAGCCAGTTAACTAATTACTGGGCTTGGAAATCTACAAATGAGAACAACTTACCTTCTGACAAGTCTGTTGCTATTCATACTCAGTCAATTCCCTATTATCTCAAACAGGAGGTTGTGATCCTTTTACTCTCATTGATTTAGTATTGGCATGATTAAGAACCTGCTTTCAAGGTTTTTATAAAGTCAAGGCCAGTTTACTTTATAGCCTTGAGCTCTATTGTAGAATGGAAAACCAAATTGAATGTATTCAAAACTACAACAGCATCCATGTCCCCTTCCTAGATAAAATACCTTACAATCCCACGTTAATTTCCAGAGAATGTTTTGAAGTGGTCCTGCATGGTTCAAGTGTTACAAGCTCTAGTCCAGCTCAATGGGTTTCTTCTTTGAGGCAAAAATAGAAATTCAACTCTCACAGTGCACACTGCTATTGTAAACCTGACTTCTTTCTGAGTCTAGCAATTGTAAATTTTCTTTGAGAAGGTTACAGAATCCAGGGAAAGCAACAGCTGAAGTGGGTTTCTGTGATCCCTAAAATACTGTTTTTAACACCCATAACATCTTTCTTCATCAGTATTTTAAAATAGATTGAACAGCAAAATAAGACAAAGTTTCAACAAAAAGATGAAGTTTCTTAATAATGTAATTTGATAATTTAAATTTAATAATTTGAATCCTGACAACTTTTATACAACAATATATAATTACACCATTAATTATTATGTTAAAGTAAGCATTCTTGATTCCTTGACTTGCCTTCGAGAAAAGCAATACACAGGTCTGCAAAGTACATTAGCTAACCACTGCTCTAATTTCTAACATTTACTGCAACAGTTTCCTGACCCTTCTACAGGATCTTAATTTTGAAAAAAAAAAACCTTAAATAATTTGTGAAAACATATCCAACTTAAGAAATCATTAGCTTAAAAGGTAAATAAACTTCTTGTTTTACTAGCTTTAAATAGTTTCAGTTTCTTCTGAGCATTCTAAGCTTGAGGAATTTCTCCTTGCTGACACAGTATTATGCTCTATTATTTGCAACATTTTCCTCTGGGACTTAAATATTCAATACATCTCATGTTTAAGTTATTGTAATCCAATTCTTTTGTAGCTGAATCAGTGGCCATTTTCTCTTTTCATATGTTGGCCAAATAACCCATCAGAAACAGTATACAACAATACTTGAAGTTGTGGTTCTAAAATATATTACATGTCCAGAAGTATAACCAACTTGGCCAGTTAGCTCTAAAAATAAGTTATGACTTAACTTTTTCATCATCTCTTGAAGAGTGAATGGTTTCTTTTGTACAACATGTCTTTCACAAAAGCCTGATTTCAAAGGCTGCATAAATTCATCTGCCTACACATCCAATTAATAACATTTCAGAAATGAAAGGGAAAACATATTTAACAATAATCATTTGTGATAATTTTAAAATATCATTCAGTTTAAAAACTTTCCTGAACAATGAATAAATGCATGTCATCATCATCCTTCCATTTTGTTTCAAGAGTAGAATGGATCTGCAATTTGGTTCACAATAAATATGAGTAGATGCTCATTTCATTTCTTGCACCTTCAAGCAAAATGGCAATAACCCTTTCTTAGATTTTCCTCCTCGCAGACGTAGATCCAACCACTTCTGCCTGTTAGGAATTGTCTTGTCATTGAGGACATCAATGTCATATGCATCAATATCCACCCCTGATAATGATGACAGAACTGAACTACTACTCATGGTACTAGCATTAGATTCAAATTCCCCATCATTATCTTCAACAGTTGATTTCTTCTTCCTTGGCTGCAACATCAGCAGACCAATAGCACCATCAAGATGCCGAAACACATCTAACTTCAGGAGGTGTGACTGAATTTCAGATGAGAGGTTGCTTGAGTCAGACGCAATCCATACTTTGATGTAACCAAAATCTAAGCTAAGCTGCTGGGCACCATAAAAGCTGTGGAATTGATTTGAAAAGGAAAATAAATTCTTCACTTGCTGACTTCCTCTGTAATCAATACCACAATTGACTGGCAACTGATTGTACAATGAAGGAGCTTATACCCCATTCACACCAGCAAAACATGTTTTGTTAAACTGGTTTTCATTGAATGAAAATTATAAACAGAGAACTGAAAAACTTGATTTTCCATCGGATTCAAGTACTAGCTAACTTGTTAAATAGTTTCTATGAAGAAAAAAAAAATTAAACTGTGTTTAACAAAACAACTTTTAAACATGTTTAAGCTTTGGTGTGAATGGGGCATTAGACAATGAATCAAAAGAAAGCTATTAAGCCAGTTTCAAAGCTCCTAATCAGAGTATCTACTCAATAATTCCAGCCTGGGCTGTGCTTAAGGAAAATTCAACAATGATCACTGATAATTGAAAATGTTCCTCTCTTTTCCAGCTATTTTTCACTTTTGTTGTCTCACCAACTTGTCAGTTTTTGTGTTACTTCAGCCTGATCTTTCAAGCAAGGTTTAACATGAAGCCCTGTGGGGTGGGGCTGGTTGTCTTTTTCCAGAGATATCTGCATTTAAACACATTCTTTCTGAAATGCTAGTGAAAAGGCCATCATATACTACAAATTCTTACCTAAAAACAATTTCCTCTTTGAGAATGAAATCACTCCATGATTCCATCATGGTGTTGACAACAAGGGTCAGAACATTCAGTCGACTTTCAAAAGACAAACCCATGGAGCTCTCTACAACTGGTTCCAAAATCTGAAACACTGCGTGTTCTACATATTGGCTCCGCTGATGAGGAATCCCTGATTATAAGTATTACAAAACAAGTCATAAGAGAAAATGAGATATCATCAAAATTAAGTCATGCTATTAAGTCTGGCTCTCTTGAGAACAACTGTTAGGGTTGGCTGGGTTTTCTGTATTATGCTAGGAAAAAAGAATTTTCTTAGTTCATCTGGTTGATTAACTTTTTCAGTTGTCATCAAACCAAAATGAGACAACCAAAAAAACAACATGCATGCACATTTAATGAAGCAACCAAAATAATGCAACTTTCTCAAGACACCACTGGTGATTTCCTTCAATTCCTTTTCAAGCACTTTCTTTAAAAAATCTGAGTTGCAACTTACATGCCTATGTTTACAATACTTTTAGGGTGAGTTGATAGAGCTGGTCCTATTTCACAGATGGATTCATAAGCATGCAAATCAGCAAAAAGCCATGGGAATCACACCAAAAGACCAAAATTGACTACAGTCGAACCTCGATTATCCGGACCCCAATTATCCGGACTATTCAATTATCTGGACTTTCTTCTCTGGTCCCAATTTTCCATGAATATTAATTAGTTGTGATCTTGAAAACTCAAAGTCACAAAAAGCCCAATGATTCTTTCAAAAGACTGTTGAAACAGCATATTATCCTGTGCGCTTTTCAAAATTTGAAAGTGCGACGAGACAAAGAAATATTCTGATGCGTTCTGCGAAAATATGGTTGGCTCAATTGTTTTGTTGCCGAGGGAATTTCATGCTTGATTAGTTCCTTCATATTCATATTTTCGATTATCTGGACTCTTGATTATCCGGACTATTTACCGAGGTCCCGATGAGTCCGGATAATCGAGGTTCGACTGTACTGTGTTTCCCCTGAACTTCTGAATGTGTAGAAATGTGATCACAGCTTTTACCATGAATTAAGGCAAAAAAAAAAAAAAAAAAAAAAAAGAATAACATCAGAAAATATTCTGTTGGGAGATTTTGACCACTTCAGCCTAAACTAGTTGTGGCCTAAACAGTTAATCCCAGTGGAGGGTGATTTTAGTTTCAAATGATGGAAGTAAGGTTAGAGTTAGGGTTCCATTAATTTTACCAGAGTGGCGACTCTTCTTCCAACTCTTGCCAACAGGCATGGCCTCCTGAAAGAATTCTGTTGAAATTTTCGTCAGATCTCTTGAGAACAGAACCCATGACTTCTTCAATAAACCCTAGTGAACAGAAAAATCACAGGTTTTGCAAAGAGCACATCACAATCAAAATATATGCAACTACCAGATCTTGGCACGAAGTATAAAGAACTTATTCCTGCCAGTCTCAGAAACCACCTAGCAACTTGAAACATTTTCAAGTGAATCCATAACACCTTTGTGCAGACTTAACAAAGTACTCTAAGATGGTGGCTGAGGGCAATCAGACACATTTGATTGCTAAGCACTATATGACAATAATAAAGAAAATGTTGAAGATGGACAACATTTATGACATTTCACATCAAGGAAATGACAAGAACTGACCTCCAAGTTGCTTCTTTGCTCCTGTAAAAGACTGTACTGTACAGAAAGAGAGTTCCAACTGATGCTATCACTGTGAACTGCACTCAGTGACTGTACAAGGAAAAATGTCTTCTTCACTGACTGTAGAAAAAGTGGTAAGTCCCACTGCGTCAGAAGCAGAAACTGCTCAAGGGACCATAAGGATAAAAAATGATGTATTTTGGTATCAAACCAGTTAAATCCAAAGGACAGCAATGAATGAAAGCGGCACAGACTGGGAAAAACTGACAGTGTTAGAGCTCTGGCACTTCTATTGGCATGAGGTTCCAAGTGGCTAGATGATCGTTTCCAGTAACCTGCCATTTCAAAAATGCTTTCAAGTGGATCCAAGAGACTAACTATGGATTGTGCTGTCTGCGTACCTGGGATGCTGTCTGTAAGTTCACTGTCCATGCGGCATTTGTCAGACAGACAGGAACCAAGAACACCACTGAAAGCTAATGAGAAAAAAATGCAATAACTTCAGAACTGGTCACAGTAGAAGGCAAGGTAAGAGAAGCAATTATTTAA